GTGGACTCAGGATTCCATCTCTGCCATTTGAAGATGGTTTTGGTGTCATTGGACCGTGATATCCAGCTCTCATTGGAGTGGTTTACACCTGGGATGAGGTTCAGAACCTCCAAGTCTCAAGCCATGGTCCTCAGTTGATAGGGTGGATTGTCCCCCTGAGAAGGGGGTGAGGTTCTGCCTCAAGTGGAGAAGTTCAAGTATATCAGGGTTTTGTTCACAGTGATGGAAGAATGGAGGTTGAAAGACGGATCGGTGCAGCTTCTGCAGTGTTGCACACCCTATGCCGGTCTGTTGTGGTGAAGAGGGAGGTGAACTGCAAGATGAAGCTCTCTGCTTACGGGTCGGTCTACGTTCTTACTTTCACCTCTGGTCATGGACTCTCTGCAGTGACAGAAAGAATGTGATCGTGGATCCAGGAGGTCTAAATGAGTTTCCTCTGCAGGAGCTGGACTCTCCCTTAGAGACAGGGTGAGAAGTTCAGTTATCAGGAGAGACTCGGAGTAGAACCACTGCTCCTCCTCATCCATTCATCCATCCATCTGTCCATCTGTCCATCCATTCATCCATCAATTCATTGGTTCATCCATTCATCCACTTGTTCATCCATCTATCCATCATACATACATATATTTGTTTATCCTTCCATTCATTCATCCATCCATCATCCTTTTGTTTATCCATCCATCCATGATTCATTGGTTCATCCATCCATTGGTTCATTCATCTGTCATCCATTCAGCCATCTGTTTATTCATCCATCCATCCATCCATTTATTCATCTATCATCCATTAATTTCTTTATCCATCTGTCCATCCATCCATTCGTTCATCCATCCATCCTTACATTTATCCTTCCATTCATTTGTCCATCCATCTGTTCATTTGTCCAGCTGTCCATTCACCCATCCATTCATCCATCTATTGGCTCATCCATCCATTGGTTCATCCATGCATCATCCGTTCGGTCATCCATCCATCCATTCGTTCATCCATCTATCATCTATCCATCCATCTGTCCATTTGTTCATCCTTCCATTCATTTGTCCATCCATCTGTTCATTTGTCCAGCTGTCCATTCATCCATCCATCCTTCCATCCATCTATGCGTTGGTTCATCCATCCATCCATCCATCCATCCATTCATTGGTTAATTCAGTCATGCATCATTAATGGATGAATGGATGGTTGAAATTGTATATTTAGGAACAAATACACATCCATCCCTCCATCCATCCATTTGCCCATCTACAGTATGTATTCACCCATTTGTCCATCTGCCCGTCTGTTCACTTACTGACTCATCCATCTTATCCTCCTTGTGGTTGGTCACAGATGCAGCCGACCCTGGACTGAAACATCCTCTGCTCCTGTGGAGTTCTCAAGTATTAAATCCTCCAGTGAGTCCTGGGTCTGGCCTGGTGGAGTCGGAGGGATCTGAAAACCACTGATGTGAAACATATAAAGCACTCAGAAGAATGGTCCAACTTGGCAGTCATTAGGTCAACGTGCAGTCCAGTGTGGGACTTGTTTTGATTTGTAAGAAGCTGGCACGTCTACAACGGGTGCCAGAGGACAGTTTGATCAAAATGTATCATCTATTCTCGCTCACTACCATCCATCCATCTATCCATCCATCCATCCATCCATCCATCCATCCATCCATCCATCCATCCATCCATTATCTTTACCCACTTCTTCCTTTTAGGGTTGCCAGCGCCCATGTCCAGCCATCACTGTGCAAGAGGCGGGGGACACCCTGGACAGGTCCAGTCCATTACAGGGACACATGAAGACAAATGAGACAAACAACCATTCACTCTCTCTCTCAGACCTAGAAACAATTTAGAGTTACCAATCAGACTAACATGCATGTTTTTGGTCTGTGGGAGGAAACCCACGCATGCACAGCGAGAACATGCAAACTCCACCCAGAAAGGACCTTTGACCGGGATTTGAACCGGAGCAACCTGCTCGCTGAGAGGCAGCATCTCTACTAACTGAGCCACCGTGCTGCCCCGCTCGTTACCAAACAAAAAGCAAAGCTCACGTTTTAGCTCGTGTCTGTCAAGATAAGATGTTCTTAGTGTAAAACTCTTCCTTCAAGGACTTTCTGTCAGCGAGTATATTTAACCTTAAACCTCCAGATCTTGCCCCATCAGTGTCCTGCTCCGCCTCATCAGACCTCCAACAGTTTTTACACTCTGGATCACAACCTGCTCAATATTTCATGGTTTTAGGACACGAGAAGCTCCCGTCTCTGTTTTTGTCTCTGCCGAGTTCAAAAGCCTCAACCACCTACTGCTGAGAATCTTAACGACCTCACCACGGCAGCAGGTTCCTGAGCCGTTTTACAATAATCGATGCAGACAAATTGTGTGTGAAACAGGGTTTCTGCTGCTGCTGTAACTTTTTAATCATAATAATTTTAATAAGCTTCCTGCACACATGCAGTAAATCTTATGTGTGCTAGAAAGGTGCAGTACACGACACGCGCTCTGATCTCCTGATCCTCATTAGTGCTTCTCGGATGCGCCCACACAAAAACAACGCCATGACACACAACACAAACCACTGCAGAGAGCAGGAGAACGAGCAGATAACCATTAATACATTTAACAGCAGGAGGTTCAGATCTGCACTCAGACTGGTTCCCATACAGGAGGACGGTTCTCTTCGCCTGTTAATGGATCTTAGTTTGGTGAGACGAGTAGAAGCTGCAGAACCTGGAAAAACAACAAGTGTCAGGATGGGGTTGCGTTTTTGTGACGGCTCCTTAAACAGAAATGTTCTTCAGAGGATGGTCTAGTGTTGATTTGAGAACCTGTAAAATACTAAATGCTCTTGTAATTATTTTTTCACAAGCAGAACATGTAAAATTACATTTACCATAAAAACATTAAGAGTGGCAACTTACCTCAGATCAGTGCAGAATTTGTGGGTTCATTTTCATCCATCCATCCATCCATCCATCCATCCATCCATCCATCCATCCATTGTCTTCTGCTTGTTGGGTCTCGGGGGCAGCATCTTGAGCAGGGAGGTCCAGACATCTCTTTCCACAACCACCTCTTCCAGCTCTACTGGGAAGACTCCAAGGTGTTTCCAGGCCAACTGAGAGACTTAGTCTCTCCAGCGTGTCCTGGGTCTTCCCCGGGGTCTCCTCCTAGTTGGACATGAAACACCTTCCTAGGGAGGTGACATGGGAGCATCTTTACCAGATGAACCACCTCAACTGGCTCCTCTGGATGTGGAGGAGCAGTGGTTCTACTCTGAGTCTCTCCTGATAACTGAACTTCTCACCCTGTCTCTAAGGGAGAGTCCAGCTCTGCAGAGGAAACTCATTTCAACCTCCTGGATCCACGATCTCATTCTTTCAGTCACTACCAGAGTTCATGACCAGAGGTGATGGGAGGAACGTAGACCGACCAGTAAACAGAGAGCTTTGACTTACAGCTCAGCTCCCTCTTCACCACAATGGACCGGCACAGAATCCACAATACTGCAAATGCTGCACTAATCCGTCTGTCAATCTCACGCTCCGTTCTTCCCTCACTCGTGAATAAAACCTTGACATACTTGAACTCCTCCACTTGAGGCAGAACCTCACCCTCAACCTGAAGAGGGTGTGAGGTTCATGTTCAGAATAAATTGTTTATTTAAAAAACTTCAGTAAATTATTACTGAATAAATTACTGAGCCAAATGTTAACAGTTTGACCAGCAACAAAATGATGTTTGTTATAATTTGTAATAGTTCCCAGCTCACGCTTTCTTGTTTAGTTTAGATTGTTACCAACCAACGTACTGAGCAACCAATCGACCAGCTAATCAATTTATCATCCACTTACCAGCCAATTTATTGACCAATCAACCAACCGACTAATCAATGGACCAACCAATTTAACAACCAATCTACTGATCTACTGTACAAACCAACTGACCAATCAATCTACAAACCAGTTTATCAACCAATCTTCTGACCAACCAATCAATTTACCAACCAATCACCCAGCCTACTCATAGACCAACCAACGTACCAACAAAACTTCTGACCTACTAATCCACCTATCAACCTACCAATAAAC